GAAGCTGAAAAGCATGCAGACATTTCAAAGCCACACTGCCACCAGGCGGCAACCAGGCACCACGACATAAGCTAATTTTTTAAAAATTCACCGCAAGCTTTATACGTACTGCAAATTTTGTAGATCTCTGGGCATAGGGCAGTATATCAATTCAAATAATGATGATGATGATGATAAATCAGTTGCTTACCTGTAATTGAGGTTGAGCAGGCTTGAATGATGGAAAATTCTCAAGGTTTGACCAAGAGCCTATATATTTAATTATAGGCTGCCCGTGCCCTGTTGCCTGCCAAGAGAGACTTACGTGTCACAGGACAGGACAAAAAACAAACAAACCCTTTTCACCTTGTTTCCTGGCAGCTGCAGACAAAGTACACCCAAGAGCAGCAGTAGGCAAGGTGGTGCCCCCCAAGTGTCAGTGGACCCCCCTCAGTCCCAATCAGCACACCCAATGGCAAGGGAAGAGGGGAGCTGTACTTTTAACATCATAGGGAGCAGCAATGTGGGCTATCCCTGCATTAGAGGCATTCTGTGGTAAGAGAACCTGGACCAGGTATGTGACTGCAGCAATGCAGAAAACTGCAAGAAGCTGCTTAATTAATCCTGGCTATGGAATACCCATAGCCAGGGATGCAGGTGGCGCTGTGGGTTAAACCACAGAGCCTAGGACTTGCCGATTAGAAGGTCAGCGGTTCGAATCCCCGTGACAGGGTGAGCTCCCGTTGCTCGGCCCCTGCTCCTGCCAACCTAGCAGTTCAAAAGCACGTCAAAGTGCAAGTAGATAAATAGGTACTGCTCTGGTGGGAAGGTAAATGGCGTTTCCGTGTGCTGCTCTGGTTCGCCGGAAGCGGCTTAGTCATGCTGGACACATGACCCGGAAGCTGTACGCTGGCTCCCTCCGCCAATAAAGCGAGATGAGCGCCGCAACCCCAGAGTCGGCCACGACTGGACCTAATGGTCAGGGGTCCCTTTACCTTTACTGAGAGAATGGGATTTGGGATAGCTGTCTCCCAAGAGCGCATTTTGATTCTAAACTTGATGGGTGAAGAGAAGTCTCAACGGAGAGTCAAGGTCACGATGATACAACAAAGATAGAAGACTTGTTATCCAAGACCACTAAGGGCCGAGTCATCAAGAACAAGGCAGGTCAAAAACGGTACCTATTGTTGTGTGTAGAAAACAAGGAACCAATGCAAGTAGCAGAAGAGGCAGGCCGTGGTGTTCTGCAGCAGCTGAAATCAAGGACCACCCAATGGAGGGCCATGCCTAGTAGACCGTTGTCAAGTTTCAAAACCCTATCCATATCTGGCATTAAATCTGGACCGCTAAAGCATTAAGTGGCCTCTCTCCTTAGGTGAAATTCCAACAGGGAAGTTTATTCTCAGTTTCAACACCTGAAGCAGAAATGGTGCAGGTGGTTTCAAGGCAAAACGTCAGAGCATCATGTGGGCTTGTGGTGATTTGCTGTCATTGCATCCCTGTCTCTTTCTGAGAAACTTGTCATGCCAGATCAGCAGAGGGGGGGGGGCACAGCACATGGCACTCTGCCAGCTTTCTCTAGGTAGCTGGTATAAGGTGGAGAGGAGAAAGTGCAAGATGGAAGGAGGTTGCATTGCCAGTGAAATGGAAATGGTACCAAGAGCCAGGTTTCACACTACAGTAACTTACATCCCACATCCCTAAGAGCCAGTTCTATTTGTATTCTTGTTTAATTGCAAGAATACCTCTTGCTACTCTAACATGCTGTGGCATTGTCCTTAAAGCCCAAATATGATACCAATTAGGGGAAATGTTTACAGAGCTCCAGAAGCAACGTGAACCTATATTTGGAAGTCTGTTCCACCAAACGGGTAGACCTGCATGTTCTGCTTGCTACGTATTGTCTTTCGGCTGGCTCCTTCACACCGTCTTTCTCAAGCACCAATCAGCTACTGCATTCCCATCTGCCAAAAACCAGATATAGCAACTGGCTGATGTGAAAAGCTATTTTCACACATTGCCATGGCAATCTGCATCCTATCTCGATTCTTGTTGAAAGCAAAGTCAGCTGGCACCAAGCGTACAAAATCGCAGCAAATGTTTTAAGCAGAGAAGCAAGAAAAACGGTTGGTGGGGTTTTTTTTAATGGAAAAAGTAGAAAACCTGATGGGGAAACTCATCTATCCAGATGGGTACATGGCATTTTCCCATGTTGACTAAAAACAGATGTAGCAAGGCCACTCACATTCAGCTTGTACTTTTGCACTTATTTACCATATTTTTTGCTCTAGAAGACTCACTTTTTCCCTCCTAAAAAGTAAGGGGAAATGTGTGTGCGTCTTATGGAGCGAATGCAGGCTGTGCAGCTATCCCAGAAGCCAGAACAGCAAGAGGGATCGCTGCTTTCGCTTCTGGGATTCAGAATATTTTTTTCTTGTTTTCCTCCTCCAAAAACTAGGTGCGTCTTATGGTCTGGTGCGTCTTATAGAGTGAAAAATACGGTATGCAGTTGTACCTTGGAAGTTGAACAGCCTAGTTCTCTAACGTTTTGGCTCCTGAACAATAAAAATCTGGAAGTGAGTGTTCCGGTTTTCAAACTTTTTTTGGAGCTTTCTGCAGCCAGTCAGAAGCTGAACTTTGCTTTTTGAACATTTTGGAAGTCAAACGGACTTCTGGAACAGATTCTGTTCGACTTCCAAGGTATGACTGTATAATAATAAATAATAATAATTTTTATTTATATCCCGCCCTTCCGCAGCCAAAGCTGGCCTCAGAGTGGCTAACAACAATAAATTGTTCATAGTGTATTGATCATAGATATCTTGCCAGGTGTTATTCTCACACACACACCCCCGCAAACCCCATGAACAAATGTTTTTATTTTCATGGTACTTGAAACTGCATGGGAAATGATTTTATAACACAGCAACTGAGGTAGTAAGGAAGCTTCCTGTACAAGATTAGTGAGTTCCCCACAAGATAAATGTAACAGGTTTGGCATTGGAATCGACATGGAGGCAAGGCCCAGTTAGGCCCCAGGTCTTAACAGAGTCTGAGATTTTCAGCTGATGATTCTATTAACACTTAAACCCTATTTTAAATTAATTTCCCAGCACCTAAAGTAGGCCTAGGAAGGACCTCTACTTTTCAGAGCAGACCATGCTTGGGTTGGAACCAGTATAAGGCACTAGCTGCAAAGGACATTTGTGTGTCTCACTGTGGGAACAGAATCGTATTAATTCCTCTTGCTCCATGTTCCCCACACCTCATGGCATGAAACCTATTTATCATTCTACCTTCCACAAGCAGAATTCACTTGGCTCCTTGCAAAAGCATTTGCATATATGAAGAACTCAGCTGCTTCCCATTCCTTTATCCACAAGAATGATTCCATCCCCATGATAGCAGCCACTAGTCATACAAGCACAGTATTACAGTAGGGGATAGATATATACCCTCATGTTCAAGTTGTCCAATGCTCAGCAATCTGCAATTAGGATGTACAGCTAGAATTCTCATTGCTAATGTCTAGTGCCTTTTCTTCCTTTCTGGCAACCAAGTTTCCTCCTATAAGCCGGCTTCAACAATTCTGTGGAAATTCTACAGATCCATCTGTAATGAAAAGACATGAAGGGGAACTCCCACGTTTTACAAAACCAAGTTCTCCAAAGAGCAGTGCTATGAGCAGCAGCTTCCTGGTAATTATGGTATAGAAATCCGAGCTAAGTTTTAAACAATGTTTTCTGAGTATCAAAATCTCATGGCATTCCTAACAGCTGATATGTGGACAGACAAAATCCAACCTAAGCTATAGGAGCAAAGTAGTGCTTAATTGGCTTTCTGAAACCATGCCGTTCACAGTGAACAAAATGGAAGCTGAAAGGGGTCCCCAAAACCACCTTTTCCAACACTCTGAACTAAGGTAATGGCGGTGGGGCCCACCTTTTCAAGGAACCAGCTGCCTGAAACATTAGCTGAAAGTTGTCCATTTACATCTTTTGAAATGGAACTACAGCCACATGATATGGGGAGGGGGGTTAATCAGATAAAAGGCCGAGAGTTCTTCACAAGGGTCTTCCAGTTCTCATGTGTGCCTAGCAAGCATTCTGAGGGTTTCTAATGCCTGAAAGCCCAGGCCAGTCACTGCGCTGCTAGAACTGTGTTCTTCTCAATTCACACAGTATGGCCAAAACTCCTCTATTGTTCATGGGGGGTTTCCCAGTGGAAACTGTGTACAGTGGTACCTCGCAAGACGAATGCCTCGCAAGACGGAAAACTCGCAAGACGAAAGGGTTTTTGGTTTTTTGAGTTGCTTCGCAAGATGATTTTCCCTATGGCCTTGCTTCGCAAGACGGAAACGTCTTGCAAGTTTGTTTCCTTTTTCTTAAAACCGTTAATACAGTTGCGACTTGACTTCGAGGAGCAACTCATAGCACGCGGTGTGGTAGCCTTTTTTGAGGTTTTTGAAGACTTTGGTGATTTTTGAAGCTTTTCCAAAACTTTTCCGAAACCGTGCTTCGCAAGACGAAAAAATCGCAAGACGAAAAAACTCGCGGAACAAATTAATTTCGTCTTGCGAGGCACCACTGTAATGCATGAACAGGAGCACAGAAAGTTGCCTTTTGCAGAGTCAGATCATCAGTCTGCCTAGCTCAGTACCATCTGGCAGTAGCTTTCCAGGTGGAGCCCTACCTAGCAATGCCAGGGACTGATATCTACCCACTGAGCTCTACTGCCGGTAACTATTCTAGGCCTACAAGCAGTTCTGCTCCTCCTCCTGGGCCCTCTTGAATTTTCCCCATTTTTATGTTAACAGCCCTAGGTGGCGATTACCCAACATCACCCAGCGAGAGTTGTGACTGAGCAGAGATTTGAACTAATCGAGAGTTCAGCATTTCTTAGACAGGTTTAAACATTTCTTTTAAGCCTTTGGATTGTGCTATAGTGCCGGGGAACCGTGATCATTGCTGTGCACACTGAATCACTACCGCTTAGAAAAGTACACGAATGAGCGTTCAAAACACAGCACAGTAGAATTATTTATTGAAATACTTGAAAAGGCCAGTGATTGGGGGGGGGGAGAAATAGGTTCGACAGTGAGGAATTTCCGCTTATGAGGTTTCCTGACCTTCTTTTTTGTTCAAAAATTCCACCTACAGGTAATTCCAGCGAAGTATAGGACGCAGTGCAAACCATGCAACTAATCTACCAAGTAGAGAGTAAAGCACTGTGTAATATTTCGGCTCTACCCCATACGCCCAGCTTTTGGGAGAACGGCTTGCGGAAGTGAGGATGAAACAAAACACTTTGGAATTATAAACAGTTGTAATATACAAATTGATTGCCGCCGCCCCGCCCCCTGAAAAGTCTGCAAAACACAACAGAGTGGGAAACGAGAGAGTTGCGGAATGGCACACAAGAGTCAAGATTCTGACAAACACACGGATGATGCTTGCTGCTCTTCTATCGGAGGGAATGCACAGCTCTCTTTCTCCTCCCCACCCCCAAAATATCCTTGACCTGCGGCACATTTTGCTGCTTAACCTAGGATGTAAAAATAATCAATCCAAGTCCAATAAAAGCTGCAGTGGGAATGAAACACTTGTGAAATAAGATCTGTGGGGTAAAGGAGCAGTTCAGTTACTGAAAGAGGAGGGAACTCAGCCCTCCCTCAAGCACTGTGAGCCCAAAGAGAGAACGTCACACACCTGTGAAATAAATAAATGAATGGTGATCCTGGACTTGAACCTACATTGCTTAAAACAAATTCTAATTACACTCTCGCTCACTCCATTTGAAACATCTATTAATGCCAATTATAATAACTTTGGGGGACATTACGGCTCGCAGCCTTAATATATACAAGTTATATTTACAATAATTCCCTTTGGGCCTTAACAAATGTAGCCATTTTCAGTTAGCCACTGTAATGCAAAAACATCTTCCACAACCATCGCAATACTGCAAGTTTAGAGCTATCATTTAAAATAATCTTATCCATGAATTACAAGTAATAAAGTAACTCGCATATATAAATATTTCTAGCGGATTTAGAATGTACATAAAAGTTTCTTTTTCTTTCCCTTTTGGTAGGCCCCTCCCCTGCGAGAAACGTGCTTTTCTTCCAGATCATCGCTGCTTTAGTAATGCTCTGTACATGGCAAAGCCCAAAACGGCAAAGACTGTAGCACCAAAACTCGCTCGAAGCCAAAAGGTGGAGCTCTTGAGGTCTGCTTGCGTCACATGCCTGCAATACGAAGAGCATAAAAAAAATATGTAACTGATTTTGCAGTGGCAACACCAGAAAGAAAACACACAGATAAGCCTGCTTTTGGAAATCTATTACACGAGTCAGTTTCAATCCAGTTACACAAACTCAATTTTATTTCTTGTAAAGTCTTAGGAGTCAATGCTTTTGTTCCAACTTTTCAAAGCACTGCTCAGTTACAGGAAAAACCAATTTGATATAATTGAAATTATCATTTGATGAATCAAACTTATTGTGTGGAGACAGTAAAGGGCTCAATGAGGGTGAGTAAACGGAGACTGAATACTGATAAGGCGGAAGAACTTATGAGTAGTTCCTGTGTCCAGGAAATGTGGAGATGAACTGCCTGGACAAAATCATGATCCCTCTCAAGGAGCAGGTATGTAGCTTGGAGGTACTTGTGGATCCAATAGTGTCACTGGAAGATCAGCTGGCCTCAGTGGCAATAAGTGGCTATTTCCTGCTCCAGCTATTCCAGGAACAGGTAAAGGTAAAAGCAAAGGACTCCTGGATGGTTAAGTCCACTCAAAGGGTACTATGGGGTTGCGGTGCTCTTCTTGCTTTCAGGTCGAGGGAGCTGGCGCTTGTCCACAGACAACTTTCCTGGTCATGCGGCCAGAATGACTAAACCGCTTCTGGTGCAACAGAACACAGTGACGGAAGTCAGAGCGCACGGAAACACCGTCGCAGCAGTGCCTATTTATCTACTTGCACTGGTGTGCTTTGAAACTGCTAGGTTGGCAGGAGCTGGGACAGAGCAACGGGAGCTCACTCCATCGTGGGGATTCGAACCGCCGACCTTCTGATTGGCAAGCCCAAGAGGCTCAGTGGTTTAGACCACAGCGCCACCGGCATCCAGCTATTCCAGGAGCAGGACTGTCTTGCCACAGTGACCAACGCTTTGGTAGCCTCATGCCTGGATGTGTGTAGGACTTCCATTGAAAATAGTCTGGAAGCTTCAGCTAGAGTTCTAGGTGGAATCGTATTACACCTATTCTCATATTAGGCTCAACTCAGTGTGTTGATATCAACTTATAAAGCCCTGAACAACTTAGTGCCCAAATACAGGAAGAAGCTACCCCTGTATCTGTTGGCCCAGGCCTTAAGATCTACAGGGGAGGCTGTTTTTGCAGTCCTGCCAATGAGCACTGCTTGTTGCCCTGTGACATGGGATAGGGTCTTGTCTGTGGTGGTGCTCCATCTGTGGAACTCCCTTCCCTTGGAGGAGTGGAAGTCACGCTCACTGCTGAGTTTTCACAGAAAGCTTTAGATATATTTCATTTATCTAGGCTTGATGTTTTGTGCTGGATCATTAATACAGATCTGCTGATGGACACTTTCAATGTGTTTGAACTTCTGGGTTTCAATGCATATGTTGACTTCAGTGATTTTCTTGTACTGTTTGCTGTTCTGTAAATATGAACAGCCCTGTGATCCCAAAGCAGTCTAGAAAGAAGTGATAAATAATCAAACGTAAGATAGTAAGATTCATGCATTCATTTGAGAGGCCAATATATGGCACAGACTCTAATCCAGTAGAAGCTATTGCTGGCTAAAAGGGGTGGAGCTGGAAATATTTTTGCAGACTGCCCCCATTAAGCCTTAGAAACCTGTTCTGCGGGGTCGAGAGACCCTCTGGAACAGTGCAAGTGCCTGGGGGCTTTAAGAGGGGAATTGGCAGTGGCTGCTTGCCCCTCCACCACTGGCGAAAGCCTCTGATGATTGGAGCTACAAGAAAATTCTCAAAATGGGAAAACCAGACTTGCGGAAATACTTTGGCTATAGAGAGTTGGTGCAGAATTACACACTAAGATATAACCAATAATTATCTCCTGGTGCATTGGGCTCAAGTGTTGCAGTCGATGTGTTAAAATTGTCTTGCCTTCATTTCAAATGCTTGAACTCCCATTTTGGGGGGACTTTTGACAATTTAAGCTGTTATTTTCTCATGCAATGAAATGGGCCGTTTTGAACTGACAAGTGTAATACTTTCCAAAAACTAGAGCAGCAAAATGCCTGTAAATGCATTTATCATATCAAAACAACACACAATCAGGGCCGGCCATAGGTATTTTAACCTCCTAGGTCTACCCTCTGCTCCCTAGCACCCACCCCTTCCCCTCTGGAGCTGTTTCTACGGATACCAAGGACTGGTTTAGATAACATAAGCACAAACCCACGCTGGTGATTCCCAGGCTACAGTAATCATCAGCTTCGCAAAACACCTAGAGAGGGGTGCTGGAAAAGTGCTCTTGGGTGGCTTTCATGTTGGTTGTTGTTGTTGTTGTTAAGAGCAGTTTATTTTAATTTTATTTTCCTATTTTATAACTGCAATATTCCCATTTGCTTCCTGGTTTGCTGGGACTGCATTATATTTTTCTGTTCTTGCATGTTTCCTTAAAACTTCAATCCAAGTCATCTTTCAAAAAAAATTGTTAACAGCATTTTCTTAGTACAGTAGACAACTACAAAATTATCGCCCTCCCTCCTCCTCTTCATTTTTGGCCCACGTGTAGTAATGGCACAACTGGAGGACTCATAATGCTGTAAAAACAGTAATGTGAGCTAAGAGGTTAGTGAGCCAGGCCTTGATATCAAACGAGGAAAACAAAATGCAACAGAAGAGCATGGGTATGGTAGATGAAAAGAAGCCACAATGAGCTTGACAAGACCAAAGGAAAACACACAACCAGTGACCTGGAAGCTCCCAACACGCACCATTTTGTGAGCATGCTCAGCTAGGCTGGCTAAAATAAGGTGGCTTACCACAATGCGACAGACACGGTCTCAAGCAAAAAGGTCACTGCAGCGACCTTAGTTCAAGGCACAGCGCTTCTCAAATGGAGTGTTACGGAACTGATTTAGGACTGCCCTATAGAACAAAAGGCTAGAAAGAATTTTCTGGCCTAGGCGTTTTAAAATCAAAATTAGAAATAATGGGGAAACTTCTAAAGTACACGAGGCAGACATCCAAGTGCACGTACACCCTAACAGACAGAGCAGGTTTCGGAGTGCAAATTCAAAAATGACCAGGGCTCCTTCAATAAAAGCAGGGATTATACAACTGCTACATACTGTTACACAAGGAGGCCAAACCAGATTCTCCAAGGGTCTAGGCAGCACTTCAAGCACATCTCCAAATCCCATGCAAATTAAGTGCTTTGACTATTTATTGCGGGCGATCAGTGAAGCGAGGTACAAAACCACCTACAAACTCCAAATCTTTTTTTTTTTGGGGGGGGGGGGAATGAACTTCAAACGGATTAATGGCAATTGTTTCTAGCATGGGGTTAGTTCTAAGTATTTTAGAGCAAGGCATTGTCTGAGTGTCTCCTCTAGGGAAGGATTAAGTTAAGATTGTGTTACCTGTCTTCAAGTAACTGAGGATCAAGGGATGACTCCATGAAGATGGAATCCTCTACAGAGCGGACGGCGTGCACCTGGTGAACAATACTGCTCTCCTCGTCTGATAACAGCATGGCACCCAATTCAGCTACAGCGGCTCTTAACCTTTTTTACACACATGCACACAGTGGGCAGTTCATAGCATGGCGAGAAACAGTCAAGTTACGCACCAACACAGCTTACAAGTCAGCTATCAGTCTGTTTTTTAACAAGGAGAGCCTTTGCTTTGTGTGCAGGTTATTAAAGTGGCACGTAAAAATTAATTATCAAAGTGGAAGGAAAGGAAGGTACTTTTACTTTTTTTTTTACAGCCATCCCAAGCAAAAGAATTGCCAGGTGACACGGAAATTGATCCCACATTCTTGCCAAAGAACAGGTGATATTCCTCAGAGATATTTTTAAATCACAAAAAAACTTTTTGTTTGTTATCTCTGAAATGTGCCTTAATTTTACAGAAGGGCTGTTGGGAAAATTTGAAGTTAGATCACATGGATTGTTTTTTGCTTCCAAACTCGAATGTTCCGTATTTTATTTGTTTTCCTTCCACTTGCGTAGAGATTTAAGGTTCTCAAATGCATGATCTAGTATTAAAAGGATCCACACTCACTCATTATTCCTGATTTTGTGTTGTGCTTCTGTATGCTTGCTTTGTTTAGTTTTACAGTATGCATGGAAACACTGCTTTTTTGAATAAAGCATAGAATTACTGTGCAAGGTCAAGTGGTGCCATCATAAGGGCAGAATGTTACGCCACAAAACAGGTTTCCGAAATGTGCCTGCCACTAAATGAAAATGAGGAGAGGGCATTTGGATCGAGGTGCTTGGTGTTCCCTTGGCCAACTAATTCTCACCCTACAAATGCTCCCAGGGTCTTCTAGCCTAGCTGGAGCAACAAAGCAAAAATAGCAATTGGGACATGCACAGAGGAGAATCAGCTGTTAACCAAATGTCCCCTTGGTCCCTCATTAGCATTAAGAGGGGTACATGAGCCTGGGAACTGCCTGTTTTCCTCACAAAACCTGGTTTCATTCTAAGTGTAACACTGTCTATTGTGTGAGTGTGCCACTGTCTATTCTAAGGTAAAAGTAAAGGGACCCCTGACCATTAGGTCCAGTCGTGACCGACTCTAGGGTTGAGGTGCTCATCTCGCTTTATTGGCCGAGGGAGCCGGCGTACAGCTTCTGGGTCATGTGGCCAGCATGACTATGCCGCTTCTGGCGAACCAGAGCAGCGCACGGAAACGCCATTTACCTTCCTGCCAGAGCGGTACCTGTTTATCTACTTGCACTTTGAGGTGCTTTCAAACTGCTAGGTTGGCAGAAGCAGGGACTGAGCAATGGGAGCTCACCCCGTCGCGGGGATTCGAACCGCCAACCTTCTGATCGGCAAGTCCTAGGCTCTGTGGTTTAACCCACAGCGCCACCAGCATCCCTACTGTCTATTCTACTGTGGTTTAAATATACAGGAAGCTACCTTAAGATCCCCATTCACTAGGCAAGGCAAACATACTCTGTTCATACGAAATATTCATAAAGAAAAAGAAAGAAAGCAAATAGCTTCCTTACAGAGTGTTG